TGAAAATTACAGTTTGTTTGACAGTTGTCAACCGAAAAAGTTTGAATTTGATACAGAACTCGAGATCAGTGAGCCTTAAAACAGAGTACGCTTAATTCTTGGGAAATTTTCTTAATTCATGTTTATGTTTATTCAGTCAATGGAAATACATATCCTTACAGACTAATAATATTTAAATTTTATATCATATAAAAAAAAATTAAAAAAAAATGTACAGTCCCTTCGACAGTTGTAAACACTTAAGGTTTTAATTTGACGTGAATTCGTGACTAGCGTGTCTAAAAACCTAATCAGTGGCATTTTTGAAAAGATCGTCTTATTTTTAGAAAAATTCACAGTTCATATGACAGCTGTCAACTATCAAGGTTTTAATTTGACATAAAATTCGTGATCAGCATGTCAAAAAACGTAATCAGCGGTATTTTCAAAAAGATTTTTTTTAGGTTTAGAGAAGTTGGCAGTTGTTTTGACCGTTTGATTATAATCGTAACAGCCTCTTTTAATTTTTCGCTTAAAACATGACTTCTCCGACCACTGTCGGCCGCGTATAACTGTTGGTCCCTCCATTTGTGCAAGAACATCAAGTCTCACACCACAAATTAGAGGAGAAGTTCAGCAAAACACTTAGAAAAAGTGTAGGCGCGAAAATATTATTATTGTTCTTAATATATTGTCCGCCACCTGCTAAATGATGACTTTAGCTATTTAATTATAAAAACCTGTTAGTGTTTTGTAAAGTGTCGAAATTTCTGAGTGGTCTACGAGCCTAGGAATTCAAAGACGTATTTTTAGAAGAAGTCTTATCTGGGGACAGATGCATTGAGATGTCAATACTCTTTATCCTTTTCCTCCAATGAAATCCCTTCCAACCTTCACACCAATCTTCCAGCTCTGTACTTACTAAAGACACCCACATTATCTCCATGGTGCATTGTAAAACCTACTACTTGTTCTATACCAGTGGTAAAAGAAATGGATGCAGTGATGCACTGTCAAATCTAACGTTCTTCTCTGGAACTCTATAAAGATAATGTACGTTTGTGATAGTTTCACTATTTTCCCTGCCTAAATCGGCTAATCTATCACTCTTTGGCGTCTAGCTCAACTACCAGACAACCTTAGCACGGACCGGCCAATTGCCTTGCGGAGGAGTAAACCAAGCCATTAAAGGTGGCCCGTAAAAATTTCGGGCTATTAATCGTCGGTATTACTGTGCCGTCTATGTGGATGCTTATTTGACATTTGAACACAGGTCATCAACACGGTTGCCGTTTTGGTTCATTTCTTTTCGTTTGGTCCATTGGTCCAATTCTTTTTAAAATGGTCTATTTCATAAGCCTTTGGTTAGGTTATTATTACCCTTTCACTTATACATTAGTTTCGCGTTTTCAATTTTTTCTAGTTAATTGATATCGAAAAGATATTAAACATCTTGAAATTATTACACCACATAAAGTACTTTCTGATACTGATGTATCAATTTTGCCGCTACTCAACCAGCATTGGTAAAATTGAGGCTGAGTGAAGGTAACTTCAAAAACTGTACCAATATAGAACGTTTTTGGGATCAAGTAAGTTTCATTAAAAATCGATTGGGAAAGCGGCCTTTGGATAATTGTGTGACTTAGTTCACCACATTTTTAGTCTGCCTCAGAGTTCCGCAGCAGTAAAGCGCAAATTTTTCGATTTAGCATTAATAAAAACGAAATTAAGAAACAAATTATAATTTAAAACTTTAAATAATATAATGTTAATAATATGTAATTGTAATGCACTTTGGATGCAATATAAAAAAAAAATCGTTTCTAAAAACTGAATTGGCATATTTTCTTGACAAAGACGAATAAACTCCACTCAATTTCCCCATGTAATAAAAATTGGTCAATTTTTTACCATTTGGGTAATTTTTTTGGTCCGAAAAATAAATTGGAAATGGCAACCGTGGTTATCAATGCCTGGTGGCTGAGGAAGCTTTGATACGGCACAGGAAGTTTTGATGTAATTATGTGGGACTTTAGAGCTACCTAAGCAGTAAGGTCAGTGACGGCCATGATTCAGATGCCACAAGTTTTCTATTACTTGAGTCCCTGCTTGGAAAATAGCCGGATAGCTGCTTTTGTTATATCGAAACACAGGATTCGGTGCGACAAGAGCATAAAAAGGAACTTTATGGTAGACGAAAAAAGTTCGATGCAAAATAAAGTTTAGTAAAAAAAAAATGTATTTTCTGGTTTAAAGAAGTTCATAATACTAGTGGCAGAAATAAAAGAAGCGCCTTATTTCGACCAGTTTTGTCTATATTTCTTTTGGTTATTCAATATTAAATTATTTTTTTATAAAAGTCTACCTCATATGACATATAATTAGCTGCATGATTTTTAATAAAAGAACTTTGTAATTTCAAAGATATGATTAATTCCAGAACTTATTTAATAAATTCAGTGCAATGTAGAACAAAAATACGGGTACCACACACAAGGACAAATAGGGGTTGAAAATGCCCCTTTAATCTATTTTTTTTTTTTTTTAAGCTAATAAAGTTAGTCCTTAGCATTTTTTTTTTTTCAAAAATAAGAATTGCCAAATTTCAAGGATTTGCAAGAATAAAATTATAAAAGGGCATTTTCAATACGTATCCATCCCTTATGCAACAAAATATTTAATCTGTTTTAACCAGAGGTCGAAATTACCCTCTCCACTTTGAAAGTGTCCGAAAATAACTGTCACTATTTAAGAGAAAAAATAACCCACAAAATGGAACAGGTGGTTTATTTTTTGTAGATGTATGCTCCTTTCAGTGGGAAAGGTTTATTTGCATATCTTTTCCGTTGCTGTTGGACACGGACACTTATCGCTCAAAGCGGAAAAATAAGTGTTAGAGCGCGGTTACCCACGAACGCCCTAATATTAGTAAAATTTTTTAATTTACCTTGATATTAATTTTTGCATTTATCTTTACGCATCTTTGTTTTTGTTTTTATTTTTACCTTTGCCATTATCCTTTTCTTTATTAAAAAAATAAAATAACTTATTTTCGGTGTATCATATTATGAATGTGCGCGCTCTTTTCTTTTGTCATAAATGTTCGCACATGTATGTGCACGTATATGTCGTGAAAAGAAATGCCTAACGCTTTACTTCCCCTTATGTACGCCCACTTATATTTTTCAGTTTTACAATAACCCACAAATTAAGATACTTTAAAAGTCCCTGCCAAAGTGTCTTTGCCTAAGGGAAATTTTAGCAGTTGATAAATAACCCACAACGGAAGACACAAAAAGGTCGCACAGAGTAATATTCCACGGTGAGAAACACTCTTTGCTTGAGAGATGAGTGTTTGTGTCAGTAGTAAACACCATACAAGACACTTGGTGACGGTTATTTTCGATCTCTTGTTTTAACTCTACAGAATTTTCTTTCTAATATAATACCCATACTGGTTTTCTAAATATGAACATTGCACTAAATTTTTAAAATCATTTTTTGAATTACTCATATCTTTTCAATTTCAAAGTTCCTTTAAAAAGTCCTGAAGTTGGAGAGAACAAATCGGAACGCAATTTTTTTTTTATTTGGCCCTTGGTTTCGTCAATATATTGATTATTTTTTGAGTAAAATTACCCGTCCCAAGGTATTATATATATGTATAATGAGCTACACATTTATAAAAAAGGGATTGAATATTAAATAAACAAAAAAAAATATAGCCTAAACTGTTCAGCATAAGCGTTTCTTTCATTGCCGCCAGTGTAAATTACAAAGTCCGAAAATCCCAGGATTCTATGAAAATAATCCTGGGATTTTCAGGGTGTAAAAAAGACCGAGATCCCCAGACACCGGGATCCCGGGACTACCATTCCTAGTAAACATACTTTAATAAATCATTTAATTTCTTTTG